AGATGGTGATGAAAGAGTAAACTGCTCCCCGTCGAAGGAGGGCAGTTGGGCCACGTCTATCGAGATGCACCTTTCTCCTCTGAGCACTGCCCAGTGGCTGGGCTAGCCCCTTAGCTCTACTGCGCCTGATTGGCACCCCATATACTCAGGCTGGAGTACCCAAACATTCGAATCCACATAACCAGAGTGAGTATCATCAAGAGTCATGTCAGGACCCCCTAAACTCTGCTTGGGAGACCACCCCCACCCCGAAAGAAACTTAAAATTTAATGTTTTGGTACTCTCGGATTCTAGAAAATGTGTGCAGTTACCTAATATATGTGCAAGATATCATAACTGTAAGCATACTCACAGCTAGAGGTCCTCTTTGGAAAAGTATGACACTGGAAGCATCCTAAACCACCATAAATGTGATGGAGTATTACGCAACCATTCAAAAGAGTTAGGAGGGAGTAAAGTGATAGCACAGTGGTCTGAGTGCAAGAGACCCAGGTTCTATTCCTGGGACCACATCGTCCCCCAAACACTGCAGGGAGTGCCCAGGGGAGATACAGAAGGGTGAATTTGGGCTGCACACCTTCTTTAGGGTTTTGTGAGCTCTAAAGTTTTATGAAGGTATTTATGAAGGTTTTATGAAGGTACTACCTATCGAAAAAATGAACGAGGGCCAGAGTGGTGGTGCAATGGGTAGGAAACTTGCCTTGCATGCGCCTGACCTAGATTCAGTCCCCGGGTATCCCATATGGTCCCCCAAGCTCTCCAGGAGTGATCCCTGAGCACAGAACTAAGAGTAAGCTCTGAGCACCACTGGGTGTGGTCACAAAACAAAACAAAAAAACCTGAAACTATTACTAGAGCAATGGAATAGTCACATTGACTCACATATAGGGGAAAGAATCTCACTCTATTTCCCCCACCCCCACTATTAAAGAAAAACTCCTGGGGCTGGAATGATAGCACATCGGGTAGGATGTTTGCCTTGCACACGGCGGACTCGGGTCCGATTCCCAGCTTCCCATATGGTCCCCTGAGCACTGCCGGGAGTAATTCCTGAGCGCAGAGCCAGGAGTAACCCCTGTGTATCGCCAGGTGTGACCCAAAAAGCAAAAAAAGAAGAAAGAAAAAAAAAAGAAAAACTCCTTAACGTGTGTGCAATCCTCAGCGCCTTGACCCTGTGGGTGAGGGCTAATGGAGTTGTATTTAGGCAGAAATCACTCTTTTCAAATGGCCAACAACAGCTTTGTTGAGTCCCCAGTCTGTGTCTGGCTGTAACCTGAGCAAGGGGGAGATCTCTCAAGAGATAACCGGGGCTAGTGTGGTCCAGGTTGCAGAATATCCTCTGGGTTGCCCCTCCTAGGAGCACTCGAGAACCCCCAGTGCAAAGTAAGAACCCACCGGCAAAAAAATCTTGAGGTGGAACAGGAAAGAGTCAGGGGTGGGGATAAGAGAGTGAGAAGAAGCCAGTGGGGTGACCATGAGACCACAGCCTCCAGCTAGCTACGCATTAAGCAGGATTGGGGGGAGGGAGAACCACTTTGACCTTCATTTAGCATTCTTGGCTACCTAGCCACTGTAAGGAAAATCTCTCTCTCTCTCTCTCTCTCTCTCTCTCTCTCTCTCTCTCTCTCTCTCTCTCTCTCTCTCTCTCTCTCTCTCTCTCTCTCTCTCCCTCTCCCTCTCCCTCTCCCTCTCCCTCTCCCTCTCCCCTCCCCTTCTTCCTCTCCCTGCATCCTCCTCTCTCCCTCCCTTCTCTCCCCTCACTCCTCTCCCTGCTTAAGCCAGCATGATCCCATGAACCCTCCAGCCCCTCAGGAAGTCATCCTGAGCCAAGACCCAGATGATGTTGGTCCCAGCAGCACTAAGATTTTTCTTTTCTATTAAGCCTGTAGATACTTCTTCTCCCCTGCCAGAGGAATTTAGTTTTAGTCATGGCCTTTCTGACCCCCCGGGAGGCACAAGCTGAATTCATACCTTTCCTGTCACTATCTCCTTGGTTTTGAGGAGGGAGCTGGAGTTTTGCTTTTGGGGTGGTTTGGTTTTGGTTTTGGTCTTTGGAGAAATAGAAACTGAGGCAAGGACTCCAGTGGCCAGGGAAGTGGATCCGGGCACGTAGTGGGAGGCATATTGGCAGGGGCCTCCGTGTGTGCAGGCTGTGAGGTTGGACCTGCTTGTCCATTATGCCAGCCCTATCCCTCAGCCTGGGGTCACTGCTTCCCCCAGGTTACTTCAGGAATCCTGACAGGAGGAAAAGGCTAATAAACCTGCCCCCCCACCCCCGGGGGGAGACATAAATGTGCTGAGTCCCAGTGCTCAGGGTGCCAAGGGACCTTCTGAATTCTTTCATTTTTACAGATGACAAACCCTTCCCAGGACTTACTTAACCCCATTCTTCCCAGAGAAGAATGCGTCCAGGAGCACCTGGGATGAGTTTTGTAGAGTTGGGATGGATAGTTGGCATTGAAATAGATCCCTAACATGAAGGTGGACGATACAGAAGTGAGGGTCAGATGGGCAAGAACACTCCCTCTGAACACAAAAGACCCTAATTCTTTTCCCAGGTTCACCAGTTTTTCTCCTCACGTGAGGAAAGCCCCCCTCCCCCCCTCCCCTTGGCTCATGTCTGCCAAAGTCCTGGTAGAATGTGTTCTGACTCGGTGTGATCCTGAAAGCAAGCGTGTGGTTTGTAACACACCAGGACTTCCCCCGTGATTGTTGTTGCATAGTGAGTTTGCCGTGGAGTCCCCCTGGGTGCCGTGAGGGCCCTAAAGAGGCAGGTCTGGGTGAGGGGATCACAGGTCTGCTCGCTGGCTCCCGCTCAGACAAGGGAGCAGGCAGGGGACCCCAGCCCCTCATGAAGAAGTGGGTGAACCCCACTGGAGACGGCTCCACTCTGCGTCATCCCCCTCACCCCTCACACAGACCCTGCCAGCCAGAACATGTCCTTCCAGTTGGGTAGATAAGGTGACGGGCCGGAGGCCACGTGTCAGGAGAGCGGTGCTGTGGGCCTTAGGAGAAGCCAGGCTTCCTGTGCCCGAGCCAGCGTCTGTGTCTCGGCTCCCACAGCCCGGGCTGAGCCCTGACCACACACAGTGACCGCGCTGGGAGCCGGGGGAATGCCGGGCCCCATGGCGCAGCTGGGTTGGACTCACTGTTCTTTCTCTAGTTCTCGAGCATTTGCTTAGAACAGCACATTTTATGCGCTTGCTTTTTTCTCTCAAGAAGTCCCAGCTGTAAACGGAAATGGGGCCGTGGGTTCAAGGCGGGCAGGTCCTGGAGGGCTTCCTGCCCCGCCTTCTGCACGCAGGCCTGGAATCTGCATGGGCCTGGAGCTCTCGCTGGTTGCCAGTAGGCCTGTAGGGAAGAGCCTCTCGGCTCTGTCCGCGGGGTCTGCTTTGGCGCATTCCCCACTGCTGAGGGGCTGTGGGGGCAGAGCAGGTGGGGGGCTGTCCTCTGAGAATCAGACTCTTTCTGGGGGTTGGATCTGAGATTTGCAGACTCAGTTGGTGGTTGGGGGACTCTATCTAGAGCCCCAGATTTTCAACCCGGTCTTCCACAGAGCACAAGGGGGTAGCATCAGCTTTGGGCAGTGGGTCGCGTCCTGCACAGGTCAAGGCCAGCATGCGGGCCCAGGAAGCCTAGTGTCTCCTCAGGCCGCCTCCCATCACCGCACAGAATCTTCTGGGCCCAGGAAGGCCAGGCCGTTGGAGCCAGTTTGTGCTTCTCCTCCCCCGACCTCTTCCCCCACCCTGCCTGTTTGCCTCCAGAGGGATCCTGATTTCATAAACTCGCTGTTTCCGTATGCCCAGCCCCTCTTCCTGGGCCAGAATGCAGGAATTGCTAACCCCCTCTTCCTGGTGTTCTGGCCCTGTGGAGTTGCTTTCTCCTTTGGAAAATTTGTCTGAAAATGTAGCCAGCCCTGATTTGACTCCCCAGTGCCCCTGGGATCCCCTGAGCATCATCCAGTGTGGCCCACCACACCCCTGAAAAAAACAAACAAGAACTTTCTATCCGAGCTTCTCCGGAGGAACTTACTCTGGCATTAGCCGTGCACTGACCTGAAAACTCTGCAGCTTCTGTAACCTGTGCCCTTTAAAGTAGCCTCAGGTTTTTCCTGGAGGTTGGTTTCATCTGACTAGGTCCTGTGCCTCTGCCTGGTCCCTACAGTTCTCTCATCCTAACATCTAAATGGGATGAATTTCAGCTCCTACTAGTCTTTCAATAAAAGCTGTAGCACTATAGCACTGTCCTCCCATTGTTCATTGATTTGCTCGAGCAGGTACCAGTAATGTCTGCATTGTGAGACTTGTTCTTACTGTGTTTGGCATATCGAATATGTCACGGGTAGCTTGCCAGGCTTTACTATGCGGGCGAGATATCTCAGCAGCTTGCCGGGCTCTCCAAGAAGGGCGGAGGAATCGAACTCGGGTCAGCCTGGTCAGCTGCGTGCAAGGCAAACGCCCTACCCACTGTGCTATCACTCCAGCCCAGCCAATAAAAGCTACTTTCTTGAATCTACTAAAGCACAACCAACTCATGAGACGTTCCTGACTCGTGTTGCTTCCCTTGGGGGCTTTTTGGGGGTGTGGAGGGAGGAAGAGGCCTCTCATAAGGTCGGTTGCAACAGACTGAGCACCCTCACCAACTATTTTTTTTCATAATAATATTTTCTATAATTTAAGAATGATGATTTACAAAGTTATTGATAGTTGAGTTTTAGGCACATGATATTTCACCACAAATTCCACCACCAGTGTCAGCTTCCCTCCACCAGTGTCCCCCTATTCCATCCGTAATCCCAACTCCCATCCCATCCCCACCTGCCACCTTGACAGGCACTTTACAGAGTTCCGTGGTTCCAACTTAGGTCTCATGTTTCCAGTGTTGTTGAGTCTGTGCTGGCATTCCTTGCAGATTTCCCAAAGATCCACCACCTCGCTCTCTCCGGAGCACCTACCAGGATGAGTGGGGGACTGACCATGTGGTTCTGGTCTGTCTTGCAGGGATTTGAAACTGGATAACATCCTTCTGGATGCAGAAGGTCACTGCAAGCTAGCTGACTTTGGGATGTGCAAAGAGGGGATTCTGAACGGTGTGACGACTACCACGTTCTGCGGGACGCCTGATTACATCGCCCCTGAGGTAAGATCACAGAGGCCAGGGAGAGTGCTCAGATGGTGGACCACATGCCTAGAATGTGCACGGCCCTGGGTTTAATCCCCAGCACTGGATTCCATCTTTCCTGCCCTGCAGTGCGTAGCCTTGGTTCCATCCAACTTCACTGGGGTGGCCCAAGCATGGCACTGCTGGGTCTGAGCACTGAACTTTCATGCCTGAGCATCACTGAGAGTGACCCCAGAACTCCAGTGCGGTGGCTATGGCTTCTATAGAACAAAAGAGATCGTAAGCAAAGGATTCCGACCCCCAGGACCAGCATTGAGGTAGCGCCCATCCATCCACAGGGTCATCTAGTAGGACTGGGTGAAGACTCTGGATGGCCAGGATTCCAGGGAGAAGGGAAAAGGGGAGGAGAGAAACGGACTGATTTCCCCCTAAAGGAGTGAGCTAAGTACGACAGCCCAAACCCCAAATATTGACAGATACTTGGACATTTTTCCACCTCAGTCCAGAACCCCAACAAGAATAGAATCAAGAGAAACATGTTGCTTGTATCATTGTTCTCACTTTTTCATAATCAGCATAAAGGCTAGCCACTGATAAAGCACCAATGAACTAGCAGATGCCATCTGCCTGTAGGGATGGACAGGGATGTCTGGCTCCTTCTGGGATAGCATTGACTCTGAAGAACAGGAAAAGGAGTGTGGCCATGTCTCATTATAAACAGAAATCAGAGAAGTGCCCTGGGAACCTCACCCATGGCTTGCCTTTCCTCAAAATTTACTTGGATATTTTGTTCACCATCAAATGTCAGTTGGCACTGAGTTTCCCCAGGCTAGTGTTGCCAAAATGAGTGATACCTGATGATGTGATACGATTGCCAATCAAGGCACAACCTCACCTAAATACTTATAAAAATGATCTTGAAGGATCCGATATGCTTAACACAAGAAGGGACACCTGAACCCCATTCGCATCAGCCACAGTGGATAGAACTGCCACGTTAGAACATTCAAACTCCCTGTCCTTCTAGTGGGCACAGAACTGGTTTGACTGTGATACCGGTTCCTCTCCTAAAAGAACTTTTGACCCAGAGAATGACAGATAAGTAAACAACTAAGCAGAATAAACACTCAAAGCAAGATGGTAGCCCAGGAAGTAGAAAAAGCTTCTCAGAGCACCTGATAGATAAATTGACTTGTAAAAAAATAAGCTGAACTCCCTTTGGTGGTTAATGAAGCATGATAACGATTGGAGTGAGGATGGCAGGAAAAGAGGTCCAGGAGGCTGGGCATCCAGATCCTTGGGCAAAAGCTACTTTTGTCATCTGAATCCTTGCAGCACACGACTCAGGCTATAGAAATGAATGAATAAATAAATAAATGAGAACCTGTTTGAGTCATGAGTCAATACCAAGGGATAAAAAAATAACCTTTTTTTTCTAAAAAGCAAAAAAGGAAAAAGCAGTTGATAGGACATGGGTTCGCATAGTAACAGATGAGATTAGGGGAACGAATCAAGAAAAGGGTTTCCTGGTAGAAAAGGATAATGGTCAGACCTGTCCAGGAGAAGAAGGGCAAAGGGGACAGAGGGCAGAGAGTGAAAGAAGGAAATTGAGAGTCTTTTCAGACAGACTCTCAAACCAGACAGATATGGAGGAGAGTCACAGAAGTGAGGATGTTGAGTGTTAGGTGCATTCTTTTAGGACCTTTCTTTCCTGAGGTATCTGAAGAGAGATTTTCTACCACCTTTATCAGCATATTTCCTTTGGAAATTAACCTCAAAGAGAATCCATGGAAGTAAAAGCTCTCAATTGGGACCTGCTTTTTCCATCCTCTTCCTCAATAATTCTTTATCATTAGGATGCTTACCTCCAGCCCCTGCAGGAGCTGATGACAATAGTTGAAGGGCTGACAGCCTAGCATAATGGTTAAGGACTCAAACCAAGACCAACTTCTACTTTATCATGAACAAAACACCCAGCAATTTCACAAAGACCATCCATTGACAAGCTTCACAATGGACAACTCTGTTCTCTATTTATAAAGAGACACAATCTTCTGTTTCTGGTCTCCTGTCCACTGGGCAGAATCCCCACTGAACATGAAAATGATCCCTGGTCTTACTTCAGGAAAATCATAGGTGCTACAGCTCCTGCCACTCTTCACAGATGCTGCCTCTGAAGAGTTTAACAAGATCCCCAGCCTGCCACACAATAAAAGGTAGAAGGCTGGCTGCTTCGCTGCCCTCGGTCCCAGGATTTGAGGGACCAGGCTGGACTTGACCACCAATGCCCCCGGTAACCTTGATCAAGTCATAAAGTGATTTGGACCCTGAGGTCCTTCAGCTTTCCAATAGGAATAGCATCTGCACCCTCTAACTGCTTAGAGAGTCTAATGAGATTGCAGCATGGAATGCTCCATAAAGTCTCTTTCAAATAGGAAGGGTGATGTGATGCTTAGCTAACCCCGAAACCAGAGCCACCTTTGGAGGCTTTAGCTCTGCTCTAGGCCTTCTCTTCCCCCGCCCCCACCACTGCCCTTTGCTAATCCTCATCACACCTTCTCTCCCTTCTCTCCACCAGCCCCTACTCCCCTCGGAGCACCGCTCAGTCCCGGGCACAGCTCAGGGCACCAGACTCCATGCCCACCTTTCTCTTTTTCCCCAGCTTTGATGCACACATGGTGCTGGCTGTCCTGCCAGGTACCATCCCACCATGCGTGAAGTGTTGCCCTTCTTTCTCCCCCACTCCATTACTGATAGGGAGACTAGGAGGCAGATAACTTGTGTGAATCATGCAAAAGATGCATCTCCAAATGAGAAGGTCAGGAGGCCAAGGAAGGATGGGTGCGTCCACTCTGGTTTCATGGCACCATCTTGCCTGAGCACACACGGGTCACCTGGGTGTCATCTTCACACCACAGGAATCAACATTACCCCCTCCCTCAGCCAGAGGGTGGGCACCTTGTCCCTGGAGAGAAGGGAGCACACCAGGGAGACATACAGTGGACACATGTGGCCCCAGTTTCCCGAGCATTGGGACTTACAGGTCACCATGGAGGTTCAGAAATCTGTGGATTATTTGTCCTCCAGGTCGTGTCCATGGCCTGGGGAGAGGGTTAACCACAAAGAAATGAGAAAATCACGATAGTACAGGGAATACGCCTGCAGATCTTAGATGCGGGTGGGGATCTGCAGAGTTGGAGCCAAGAAGACTTCCTAGAGGAGATGGTGATAGCCATGACCTTGGAGGGCAGAACTGGCTGTCCCAGAGTGAGTTACTGACTTTCAAGGTTGAGTGAGGAGCCGGCCTTGGCTCTGGAACCGTCAGCCCGCCTGCCTGCCCAGTGCCTAGTCTGCCACCTGCCTGCTCCCATGGCTCACCCTGGGTATGATACTGAAGGGCCAGCCAGCCAGCAGCAGCCCTGTACCGCTGAAACCAGCTGTCTTTCCTCAGTCCTCTTCATTCCCAGTAAGAGGATCCTAAAGACAGGCATATTTACCTTCTGTAAAAGTGCTTCTCCCTGTGGTCTGTTCACCTAAACCTGAGCATCACGTCATCCCTAGCAGTCTGTCTTGAGCAGACCCCAGAAAGCGCAGTTACTGCATCCAGCCTTCCCTTTCCCCCATTTGCAAATCTGAGAAGCAATTTAGGGCAGTTAACTGGGAGGTCACCTGCCTCTTGCATCCTGCACTAGGATGATTAGTGCTGCCCTTGGCTCTGTGTGTGTGTGTGTGTGTGTGTGTGTGTGTGTGTGTGTGTAGAGGGAAAGGGGGGTTGTCATCCTCAAAGCCCAAATGTATTGAAAATACCCATTCCAGGTGCGATATTACAGGAGTTAAGGCACTTGCTTTGCACCAAGCCAGCCTTGGTTGGATCCTGGCACCCCATGTGATCCTCTGACCCCCTCCAGTAGTGACCCCTTATCACAGAGCCAGAAATAAGGCCTGAGCATCCCTGGTGTGACCCACCCTATGATAAAAACTAAAGACACTATAGCCTTGCCTCATTCATGTGTGTGTGTGACTGTGTGTTTGTGGTTTGTGTGTATTTATGTGTTTATGTGTGTGTTTGTGTGTATGTTTGTGTATGTTTGAGTTTGTGTGTGTGTGGGGGGGGGGGTTCTGGGCATGGAACCCAGTCTTCATACAGGCATGGTGCCGGGTACCCCCAGTTCCACTTCATGCTTTCAAATTCTTTATGGGATTAGTGGACATCCCGGAAACTCATCTCTTCCACTCTCTTGTCTCCGGGAAGCTCCAGGCCTCTTCCCGATCAGTGACCAATAGGAGCAGCCCAGCCCTTAGTTCACTCACAGCCAAATACACTTCTGTAATGGCAGAAACCAGTCCTAGTAAAAGAAAACCTGGATTGAATGCCTTCTGACGGTCAGACAGATTCTGAATTTTGCAATCTGCTTTCAAAATATTCCCCTTCAGTGCCTCCTTCGAGTGAAGTTGAGAAGCTGAGCCTCCTTGGATAAATGAGGCAGTGATGTGGCAGGCATGAGATTCCCCCAGGCAGCGTAGTCTCTGCCAGACAGGGGAGGGAAGCAGATAGCCTGCGGGGGCTTCTCTCACCTCTTCACTACACCCCAAGACTGTAGGAACATCAGGAGAGGGGAAGAGACTTACCTCCCCGCCCCCAACTGCAGTTTCTTGACTTCTAGTAGCGATGCTAATGATTCCATCTCCTGGACTGCTGTTCCCACTCACCACTCATTCCGCGAGAAGCCCATGACAGCAGCATGGATTCAGCTGCAGCGTCGTTCCCAATCTGACCTAAGTGAGTTTGACTCTGCATATTGGAGCAGACAAAGAGGGCACAGATAGAGCAAGTGACCGTTGTCAGGAGAAAGTGCACTGAACTGTCAGGAAGAAGACTTCATTTGGGCAATTGCAGTTTGTTAATGAGGGCTGCCCCAGAGAAAAGGGACTATATCGAGGCAGGTAAATGAGGGCTTCATCAGCAAGGCTAAGACCAATCCAGAGAAATGTCGGGAACTGGTCTTTCCTCGGAATAGGTAAGAGGATAGTGGTTCTTTGTGAGATGAACACAAAAGGGTATGGAGATAGAGTAACTGGATGAGAAATTGCAATGGCTTCAAGGGGAATGCCTCCGTTATCCTTGGTCCCAAAGTAAAGGAAGGAAAAGGAAAGACAGTGAGTGGAGTGTAGAGGGAGAAGAGATAGATGAGAAGCAACAGTGGGCAAAGGTCAATGTATGTCTGTGGAGTTAGGGAAAGATAAAGCTAAATATCCAAACCTCAGAGTCAAAACTTAAATCAGCGAACTGACAAAGGTACTCGTTGCGATGACTGGCTGGAGTGGGGCTGGGAATCTGAGTACCCTCGTGGAGGGAAGATGAATCTGGTGGTATGATGGATGATGGAACATTGTATGTCTAAAACCCAACTGTGAATAACTGGAAACCATGATGCCTTCACAAAATCAAAGGATGGGGGCCTAGGAAGATCCCTGGACTGTAGCCTTTACTCCTCTGAGACCACAGGGCTTAGGGAAATTAAATAATGTCACCATGGCATGAAGACTAAGCACCACTCAGCCAGCCCTGCCTGTGTCTCCCTTACTCTGCATCTTGCTCCTCCATATTTGAGTTTTAGTCCAAAATATACTTTTTTTTAGCATGACCCCAAAATGCAAGTCAGGACCTTCCATTGGTCCTCAGACCAAGAAACAATGCTACTTCCTCCTGAGAGCTCCTTCATGTGGACTGTGCTGAGTTGGCACCCACAGTCTCCCACTCAGCTTGCTCGGGGCCTGTTCTTGCTCGTGAAGTTGGGCTTTTTTCCACGGCACAGGCATGGCCGTGGGAAACGGGGTCTTGGCTGGGTCCTGACATTGCCCGTGTCCCGAACAGATCCTGCAGGAGTTGGAGTACGGGCCTTCCGTGGACTGGTGGGCCCTGGGAGTGTTGATGTACGAGATGATGGCTGGGCAGCCCCCCTTTGAGGCAGACAATGAGGACGACCTGTTCGAGTCCATCCTCCATGATGACGTGCTCTACCCAGTCTGGCTGAGCAAGGAGGCCGTCAGCATCCTGAAAGCCGTGAGTCCTGCCTCTTCCCACTTTCCCGCCTTGGCCTTCCTGTTACTCCCTTTCGCCTAACCCAGTCACCTCACACTCTGACCCAGAAATCCTCACCTTTCCCCACCTCTCTCTTCCTCTGCATCCCCACTCCCCCCCCCCCCATCACAGACAGAGGGCTCTGAGGGCACTTGGGACTGGGCACCCGTGCTCCAGTTCGAGGGCATGTGGAAAATATGGGGTTGGGATGATAGCATTCCTGTGGGACAGGAAGAGTTTCCTGAGGGGAATCTCAGTTGTGGACTCCAGCTTTACACAGGGAGTCCCGTCATCACCCCTGCAGCTGGCCCCTCCTCCTCCCCACCTGAGCCCTGTCTTCCTGTGGAGGTGAGGAGAGGAGGGTCAGAGCCTCTGTCCATGACAACAATATTGTAACCAGGTCGCTGGTCAGAAGAGAAGATCCGCTGAGGCTCAGTGATTCAGACCTGTGATGTAGACAGTCTCATCCCTCAGCAGCCAGACGCTGAAACATTCTCCACACGGTCCTAAACACTGGGGCAGCAGTGAAACACCTGTCCACCTAGAACGTTGTGAGGAAACAGAGGAAAGGAAAACAAAGCTTCTTACCAGGAAAACCATCACTGGGGCGAGACCAGGCCAGGGGCCAGCCCAGACGACTGGACTTCCAGTTCCAACTTCTTTCACCCATCAGAACGCCTTAAGCTGAGCAAGGAGTTCTGCTACCTTCATAAAATTTGTCACACCCCAGTGCACTCTCCCAGGGTTTATTTGTTCTTTCATTCATATCTCAGAATTTGCCTAATTACATGTGTTTGACACATAATTGGTTCATGACTCTCATACACTGTAGCACTGTGGCACTGTCCTCCCATTGTTCATCAATTTGCTTGAGCGGGTTCCAGTAACACCTTCGTTGTGAGATTTGTTGTCACTATTTTTGGCATATCGAATACGCCATGGGGAGCTTGCCAGGCTCTGCCATGCGGGCAGGATATTCTCAGTAGCTTGCCGGGCTCTCTGAAAGGGACAGAGGATTCAAACCCGGGTCAGCCACATGCAAGGCACACTCCCTACCCGCTGTACTATCGCCCCAGCCCAGCTCTGATACACAGAACTCTAAAATCATTTGTCAGAGTTAACAGACAGCATCATGTGAAAAAGACTGACTTGAAATTATTTTGTTGATATCTGGGGCACAGGTACCGTATGTAGCTTAGAAAATGCTCATTGAGAACATGTACTAAACATATTTAGGAACAGGGAGATAGTACAGGCTTAAAGCACTTGTCCTCTATAAGGCGATTCCAGTTTGGTCCCCAGCCCTGCCTATGTTCCCCCAGATGTCACCAGAAGTGATTCCTGAGCACAGAGCCAGGGGTAAGCCCTGAGCACAGCCAGGCATTGCCCAACCCCCTCCTCAAAGAAAAGAATGAGTGATCTTTTCTGTACTTCTTCTACCCATCTCCTTCCGCGTTTCCCTTCCCTCATCCCTTCCCTCCTTTTCTCTTCCATTTCCCTTTCCTTTCCTTCTCCATCCCTCTTTCCCATTCACTAACTCTGAACTGCTTACTGAGTGCTTCCACCGCGCCCAGCTTTGCAGTAGTTGCTCAGTGAGTAGAATAGTTGCATGGAATTTGTGAGGCCGGGAAAGGGGAGCATTCCCATTGCATCTGTGCGTTGCCTCCCTGGAGGTGAGAGCAGAGAAGGAAGTAGTGGGAAACATTTACTCCTTCGTGCATTCAGCAAATGTCTCGAGCACTGGGTGTGTGCCGGGCACCATGCAGGTTGCCAGCCACGGGAAAGTCCAGGATACTCAAAGCAGCCAGCCCAGCAGAGCTGACCACTCAGGCAGCTCCTCTGTTGGCCCCACACGCCTTCCAATGGGCTTTTCATTTTGGGTGGTTCTCAGCGAGAGGCTTCCCGCTTCCCCCGCAGACATTTGGCTGGAGATCATCGTTTTTGTTTATTTGTTTGAGGCCACGCCCAGCAGTGCTCAGGGATTACCCAGGGGTGTCACCTCTGGAGTGACTTGGGAGGTGGCCAGGGACCAAACCCAAGCCTCACATGTGAGGAACATGCTTCTGCCAGTCCAGAACTTACCAGGGCCCTGTCCAAGGGAACTTTAGTTTCCACAACTGAGAGGAAGGGGTGTTCCTGACATCCAATATTCTAGAATTCTTTTTTTTTTTTTTTGCGTTTTTGGATCATACCCAGTGATGCTCAGGGGTTACTCCTGGTTCTGCACTCAGGATAATCCTGGCGGTGCTTGGGGGACCATAAGGGATGCAGAGGTTTGAACCCAGGTTGGCTGCATGCAAGGCAAACGCCCTCCCCACTGTGCTATCGCTCTGGCCCCATTCTAGAATTCTTACAGCAGCCCTGGAGCCAAAGCAGGGACCAGTCCAAAGTGTCCTTAGCCCCAAGCTGGAGAAACTTTGACCACCCCGCAGAAACTCAGGAGCTAGGGGCTGTGGGGGTGAGGCTGAGTGTCCAGAAGGAGAAGCCCTTGCTCAGGGCCCGTGTCCTGAGATGTTCAAGCCCAAGTGTTTATCCCAAACAGCAGCACTGCTCTCCCAGAGGCAGGAGCACAGGAAGCACCGAGGAAGCAAGGAGGAGTCTCCACTCCCTTGGTCTTGGAACGCTTCACTTCCTCACATTGTCACTCGGCTCTTGGGTCAAGCCTGGTTTTTCAAGCCTTGGGCCTGGGCTGTGTCCCTGAGGGCTGCCGACACTGAGAAGGGGTACCAAGCTCGAGATCCGGCTGTCTGTGCCACCGGGGAGGCCTGGCTCACCCCCCTCCCCCAGCAGTATACGGCCTCCAGTGGAGGGCCTGAGCCTGGTGCTGGGCATCTGGGACTTATTCCTGCCTCATAGAACTCACCACAGGAAACAGACACATTAATTAGACACATTAACTCCAGGTATTCAGTTAGTGCATTGATTTTGGCTGGAATCCACTCAGCATTACTCGGGAACCACTTCTCGCGGTGCCTCTGGCATGTGAGGTGCTGAGGGCTGACCTGGGGCTCTCACGTGCAAAGTCTGTGCTCCCATATGCTGGGCTCTCTCCGGCCCTGACAAATTATAATTTGGAAGTAAACAAGAAGGATGAGGTCTCCGTAGCCTCGGAGGAGAGAATCTGGGGAGTTATGACAGAGGAAGGCAGCATTTTGACATGCATCGAGAGGATGCACAGGGCCTGGGGAGGAGCATCTGGGGCAATGACAAACGATGCAGAAGACCAGCAAGTTAGGCTGCTGTCAGCCAGAGAAGTTTTTCAGCAACACAGGAAGGGATATGAACGGGTCCAATGGCCATTAGGAGGCTGTCGGGGTATTAAAACAGGACATATAGAGTGGGTAAAAGGGAAGACTATCCAGCATGAGAAAGATGGAGCACAGGGCTGAGACATGGCACAGAGAGTAAGGTTTAAGTAAGGTTTAAGGAGTAAGTAAGGAGCCAGAGCAATTGCACAGTGGGTAGGGCGTTTGACTTGCACATGGCCAACCCGAGTTCAATTCCCAGCATCCCATATGGTCCCCAAGCACTACCAGGAGTAATTCCTGAGTGCTGAGCCAGCAGTAACCCCTGAGCATCACTGGGTATGACCCAGAAAAGAAAAGTAAGGAGGCAGCCTTGCAAGCTGCCAAGCCCACTTCTTCCCCTGGTACTGCAGGTAGTACTCTAAGTACAATGTACCTAACTTTAGATACTCTAACGCCATATACCCTCCATTCTGCATTCTGGGGCATGAAGAAGAGATGGAGGAGATGCTTCCTACCCAGACAGACTGCTCTTGCCATTGCAGCATGGAATGCTACCATTATAGATGTATTCCTTCAGCTCTAAAGTTCCGCTGTTAAAATACAGACTCAGAGCCTTGTGCTGTTCGAGCAGAACAGTTTGCCTCTCAAACATATAAATACACATACCTCTCCTTTTATTTCGGATCTTTGCCATCAACATTTCTTCTTCATGCCAGCACTGATTATTTTTAAATGATATGTTGGTATACCTCTGCTCAATTAACTTAATGTTCGCTGTCAGGATTGAGACATTTAACAGGAGTTATCAATTCCCTTGACCCCATTCAAGAAATAAGAAACACACTGCAGTGGAATCTTTACAAATCAGCACAGAGAAGATACAAGTCTATCTATCTTTCTTTCTTTCTTTCTTTCTTTCTTTCTTTCTTTTTCTCTCTCTTTCTCTTTCCTTCATTCTTTCTCTTCCCTTCTTTCTTTCTTTCTTTCTTTCTTTCTTTCTTTCTTTCTTTCTTTCTTTCTTTTTATGTTCCTCCAATGACCTCCATGGGAATTTAGTTCTCAATATTACAGATCTGAGTAGGGAGAATCTAGAATCTATTCTGAATCTAAGAATCTATTCCTAATCTAAGTAGGGAGAGTCCAGGAGAGAAGTGAATGGCAGATGGTGCCTTGGATTATTGGACTGAAAATGGCCATCTGGTTCTCCTTCCTGAGCCCAAGTGGAAGTGTCAGTGAATCAGTGAGATGTCAGAGAAAACAAGGAGGCAGGTAGCTGGGGTGATCCGTGTCAAATCCCAAATTGATATGTTTGAGCCTCGCCAAGTTTTCGTTGACTCTCTGGGGTGGTAGCTTGCTTGTGGCTAAACCAGGTGGATGGTAACTGTCCTGAAAGGTTGCCGTTGGCTGGAATACCGTCTTCAAGACAGGGACTGTGCCTGATAAGTGCCACCTAAGCATTCAGGAGACCCCAGCGACGCGGGAGAGGGTGCCCCAGCTGAGTCCATCATTTCCCAAGAACCCACGCCTACCAGGTGTCTGTCGTTCATTCTCCTGTCCTCCTCCCCACAGTTCATGACCAAGAACCCCCACAAGCGCCTGGGCTGCGTGGCGGCACAGAACGGTGAGGATGCCATTAAGCAGCACCCCTTCTTCAAGGAGATCGACTGGGTGCTCCTGGAGCAGAAGAAGATCAAGCCGCCCTTCAAACCTCGCATTGTAAGTTGGCCGGGAGCTACCCGCGCCCTGGCAGGCCCAGGCCTCTGTGCCCAAGGAGGGGCTGGGACAAGGGTTTTCGGCAAAGTGATAAGGATGGTTGGCAGCCAAGATGCTGCTGGAGGGACAGTCTTCGGAGTCGTCCATTGTCATCAAGCCAATGGCCCTTTGTGGCCAGGGCCGAGGTGCATGGCTGAGGTGTGGGGGAACATTTGTGTCAGGAACAGGCAAGTATCCAGTAGAGATTGCTTCCTTCACTTGAAAAAAATGCAGATGTGACTCAGTGTAAGCAGACAGAAGAGGTTTCTTCCTAAGTGTGTTTTCAGTGAGTAAAAACGATTAAGTCCCAGTTATGGTTGATATGGGACCCTGACTCAGAGAGCAGAGTTGGAAGCCAGTGACAGGTTAGGGACAGTGGCCACCAAGGAACCCAGGGAGACAAGTCATGAAGGCTCTGTGGAGAGTGTCCTATCTCATCTCAGGTGGCCATCAGGGTCCTAAGGCATGTCTGGGCAGTGGCGGACAGGGTGGGAATAGGCAGGCCCAGAGCATCCCTGTCTGCCGGAAGTAGGAGGGTCTGTCTACATGGCTCCCCTGCTCCAAGCATGTGTGTGCACCCACAGCCAGGCGTCTCCTGTCAGCTTGAGGTCTGTGATGCCATCTGTCAGGATGGAAAGCTGGGGAGCCACTGGCCAACTTTGACGAGGAGTCAAGGGCACGTGTGCTGTGGGAATTCACTAGGCAGGAGCCCCAGAGTGGGAGGAGGCCAAGGGCCCTGACAAGAAGGGGCTCCAGTCAGCCCTCAGGTACCCCCCTTCTGTCAGGTCTCCCCTCCTTCGTGGCCAGAGAAGACCCGGGTGTATCTGTTGCTTCATCAAAGAGGTCTGGTGTCCTATGCCACAGGGTTTTCTGGGGAACCGTTACTCATAGAGAAAGTTTCATGTGGGGTCACCATAGCTGATATGACCACAATCAGCCAGACTAGACTAGTGGCAGCTCGACAGTCTCTGAACACGCAGTCCTGTCACCATCACCCTTTAGCTGTGGTTGTTGTCAGCTGGCACATGGCTCCAAGCAAGCGATGTTGAAGTTCACCTTGGTTTCCGTCGCCCCTACTCCGGCCAAACTGCACCCCCATTGCACCCAGCATTTGGAACACCCATTTCTGCACACACCAACCTGCGAGGGGCTGGGGGCTGCTGGTCGCTGTCAGCGTCTCCCAACAGGGGTCATGAAAGACACGGCAGGGAAGTGGGAAGCCAGAGGTCATCAGAGCAGGAGACACGAGCTTCCCTCCAGAGAGGTGCTCACCTAAGCGAAACCACACAGAGAAAACTGGGGCAGAGCACTCAGGCAGGAGTCCAGGCCCGACACTCAGGAGCTGGTTCCTTCTGGGGGGTAGCTTTAGGAGGGATTTGGGGCCTGGTGCAGAGGCAGGCAGGGAGCAAAGAACTTGGGGAGGTCCTCAGTGGTTTCACAAAAGTGCAAAGGAAGTTTCAGGAGTGTGTGTCGGGGTGGGGAATGACTCTCCCTGGAGCAGACTCATTCCGAGGCAAGGCAAGAGTCGCCAAGCCATCCTGAGCTAGAGAAGTTCTAGGCTCAACACCTTTCCCCAGAGGCTCAGTCCAGACCCCCAGAGGCTCCCTCCTCCAGAGCGTCTACCCCTCAGGGTGCAGTCCTGAAACGGGAGGGCGGGGCGCTGGACACTGTAACCGGCCGCTGCAGGGAGGTAGGAAAGGGTTGAAGCATGGCCAAGCCTAGGAGCGGGCGGGACAGACCCCTAGGAAGAGAGAAAGCAGGAGGAAAGGGCGTGGAGGCCCAAGTGTGCAGCCTGGCCAGGAGCAAGCAACCTGGCTTAGCCCATCAAATAGCTCATTGCCGGTTGGTCCCAGGTTGTGGGACCCCAGAACAGAAGGACGGCCCTGGGGGCTCCATCCCCCGGGCCCCTCTAGAGCCCCCACCTAAGCAGGAGGGCTCCCCACTAGCTTTCTATCCATGTTGAGGAGCACATGTAGATTCCAGGGGCCCGAACAGTTGGCCGGGAGAGGTGGGGGTTCTGGCAGAGATTCCCTCAGTCTCAGAACTGCTGTTGGCTTTCCTTGATTATCTCCTGAGTATATTTCTGCTCTGCCTCCCAGCCCTCCAGCGCCCTCGCTCTTGGGGGCCCAGGGAGAGTCTGTTTATTAGAGGGGTTTGTATTCCTTGGGGGAGGGGGCGTTGGTGAAGGAGAACTTCGAAGGAAGGAAACATTCAAAGGAAGCCAAGGTGCATTGTGTGAGAAGTGTTTGCTGTCGGATTTTGAGCTGGAGGATGTTGATCCTTATGGGATTCTCAGCTATAGGTCTTGAAAGACATCTCTGGGTTATTTAAATAGCTGATCACGTGGACGTTCTTGGGACCAGATATTTCTCTCTAGAGCTCTGTCACAATCGGGAAGGAAAAAAACAGGCCCCATCTAGTTAGACAAGTGTCCTGCAACGCTCTCACTGTGTGGAAAACTCTTTCCTAAAAACTCTTGCTGCTAGCACTTTTGAGTTATCTGAATTTTCCCTTGAATGAAAGTGCCCTGCCAAGATGGGTGTGCTGTATTTCTCATCTTGGAAAGCCTCACGGGGCCAGTGCAAAAACATGGGGTTTTAATAAAACAGTGCCCCTTTCCACCCAACTTGGGGTTCACCGGGGTCGGGGCAATGGCTGCCTGGCAGGGGGGGGGTGGTGCTCAGTGCTACATCAGCACCCAGGAGAGGTCACTGAAAGACACAAGGCATGGTGTGTCCCGCCAGCCCCAGCGTCTGTGCGCCTATGGCCAGGCAGCTGTGGTTCCATGCACCAGGCCATCCTGTGACCTGGGGATACATGGGCTGGAGGGAGACTGGCAGAGAGCCTGGCACAGAGGAGAAAGGACAAGGAGAGGGGCAACATGCACTCAGAGACATGTGGAGGGTCGCAGAGACTGGCTCAGAGTCGGAGGAAGACATGGAGGAGAACACTGGCCAGTCCTGCATGGGCGGGGGGGGGGGCACAGTGGCCGCTGGGAGCCCGTGGCGGCCATGCCAGCAGGCCCCGCCCAGAATAAGGGCAAGGGCTATAAGAGAACTTCTAGCACCTTCCTCTTGGGTAGCACCACTGGGTCCCTACCAGGCCTTGTGGGATGCCACCAATCTCTAGAAACCGACCCCCAGTGTCCCTTCACTGGGGTGGACAGACCCACAGGGCCCTAGAGCATCCACCAATCTGCCTGAGGGAGAGCTGGTGTGTCTGGTGGTGGGTGCTGGCAAGACCAGGAGAAGGCATATACCCCAGTGTGAGATGGAAAAGGGTCCGAGACGTGGTGCCGAGATGTGGTGGTATGATTCCCAGAGTTCCTGAACATTCCCCTGCCTGGGGCAGCCAACCTGCCCTCGCTCAGGGGTGCCCAGGTCTCCCCACCCTCCACTCCCAGGGACTGAGGATGCACTGTGCAGTGGGGGAAGGGAGCGATAGATCCCAGGCCTGTCTGCTCAGCAAGAAGCTCCCCGCCCCCCACCCCCAAGAGAGCACCAGGGTCACTGTCCAGATTCTCTGGTTGGGTCTCATCACCTACCTGGATAGGCGCCGTCGGTACCAGGCCCTTCTTGTTCCAGAGGTTTGCAAAGCTGAGACTCCTGCTCCTGCGGCCAGCCACTCCTGAGCTAACACCTGGCCCTGCCCTGCTAGCTTCCCTGCAATCCCATTCCCACCAGGTGTACCCACCCTTCCCCCAGGATGTGTCCCAGGGCCTCTGCTCTAGCCTGGAGCATGTCCTCTAACTGTGTCCTCTCCTCTCCCTTCCTGCTCTCCCGCCTCCACCTTCCCATCTCTCACGCCTCCTGTCCACACGTCTGCCCACCCTCCAGCCTGGCTTTGCACCACCTCGGTGCTGTCAACACGGAACTGAAGAGGTTCTGTGCCCTGTGTCTGCGAGTCCGTCTTTGGGGCGGGGGACGGAGCATTGGGACAGGACCCACAGAGTGCGTGGCAGGTCCCCCAGCAGTGGTGGGGGGTGGGGAGAAAAGACAGCTGGCCTGGACATGGTCCTTTGGAGCTCAAAGAAGTCTCCAGCAGAGAATTCGTGGTTCCTGCCCACTGCGGACCTGGTTCAAACATAACCACATGCATCACCCAGATGACAACAGAAATGGCACATTTAGGTTTTTGTGATGCTACCGAGCTTGCTTTCTTTGGGGAGCCTTGGAGACCCTCTGTGCCCTTTGGGAACAGAAATGACATGCTTGATGTAGGACTTCCTGTGACTTTGTGTGTTTACGGGAGCTATTTTCCTCACTCCTCGTTGCCCTCCCATGCCCTCTCCCTCGCCCCTGGATGCATTAAGCTCTCAGATGGCGGTGCCCAGCATTCCAGCACCGGGAGGAAGGCGGGCGGGGTGGGAAATCAGCAGAAGTGGGAGACATCCACGTCCCCCCAAATCCCTCAGCCCTCAGTTGCGAGCCAGAGGCGATGAGAAAAATGCTGGCGAGTAAACTCTCTTTGTGTACATGTTCTCTCTTTTCAAGTTTGCGTCAGTGTGAATGCCCCTCTCTCAGGTAAGGCCTCCAGACGGGGGTGTCTCACAGGTAGGTGAGTCTGCCGCAGGTCCCAGTGGAGGCGTCTCCCCATCCATGATCTCTCTCCATCCGGCCATCCGCGCTGCATGGCGGGACCTCCAGGGAGCCCCTTCCCGCATGTGGGTGCATGACTGGGCTGTGCTGAGAGAAAACTGGGAAGTGGGCTTGAGACCCTCACATGCTCCCCCACGGCCGGACTGAGAAGGAACCATGCCTGAGCCTGATGCAGGGACCACGGGACAGCGCCGTGAGCTCAGAGCCTGCCCGTGCCCATCTGGCCGGCCAGAACCCGGCTGCCAGCATACCCCTGGGCTTTGTTCATACCCTCATGAGCAGCCCGAGCCTCTGAGACCTTGAGAGCTCCTTCCCAGAGCCAGGACTCCTGCCCGGGGCTGCAGGGGATGGGCTGCGTCCAGGAGC